GTATGATGATTGTTGATCAGTTTGGGTTAACTTGCCCTAAATCGAGTATGGTGACAACAAGGCCACTCCGCAATACCAAATTACCTTCTTACTTCCTTTCTTATTTGTTAAATATGCACAGCAAGAAAGTTCTTTATTTATAACGTCTATAAAGCTGGAATAGGCAGCAAATGTCAAGAAAGCGGTACTCAGAGTTGTACTATAGGAGAAACGTTTTAATTGGCACTGAAGAAAGGACAAAAGTCATTCAACATGTCACCGTGTTTTTATAGTTTTGTTTTCTTTTCCTCAGAGTTGATGACGATTTGTAAGTGTGTACTGAACTCCGTATGAACTGATCAGGAATCGTTGGAATCTATTCGGATAGTCGGGGCGCAAACATAGGATTTCTCGGTGTTCGAAACTCCATTCTGGTTTGCTACTATCCAGGTTTTCACCTTTTTCGAGTGAAAGAATAAATTACTTAGACACAGATTCTCGTTTTTGGCGAACTTCAATCATACTGAGCTTTTATAGCATTGGTTGTTCATTAAAAGAAAGATATTAGGTCGGGAAAGCACATCGCTAATAGATGCTGTGCAATTTTACACGCAGGGTCTCCGGTTCGATCCCGCCTTGGAACAAAGAGGCATTGACCTTCCACTGTATTAACAACCGTTAGTTTACTACGGGTGTTCACTTAGGGAAAATCGTTTTTTTGTCTATTTCACTACAAGAGTGCTCAAAAATGGCTTACAGCATTTGTTTGTTGAGTTATGTTAATAAGTGTTGAAATGAGATCTACGTGGAAAAAGTTGGCATTATCGCTGTTCTCTTAATTGGCAAAAAGTTCAACATTTTCTTCAGGAAACCCAGTTGGAAGCAAGCCCAGGCAATGTCAGAGCAATGTAGAATTATCCGCGGTTACCGTTTCTCTAAAGGTAGAAATAAAGAAATTTGCACCAAAAATTGTGAGGTTATGGCCCAGCCATTCGCTAATGAATATTTTACAAGACTGAGAACCGAAGGGAGGTTAATAAGCCAGGAAGAGAACTGATCCGCACTGCATTTAGAAACAACTTTTGATGGCGAAAAATGAGAACGAACAGCGAGAAGCTCATCATTTATTGCAACTAATATCTTCATATCGGAATGCATTTTAAGATACAAGAGAGCTTTTGAAACGAAGCAGCTCTTAAATACAAAGACTACAAAGGTAATACTACGTATGCCGAGTGTAAAAGAAGTGAAATAAAGCTGTACATTGACAAGCCAGATTTGATAGGGACAATAAAGAATTACAATTCTTATAAATACTTCTGATTAGAAGGCTAACTATTACTAGTGCTATATAAGTGCTAATAAGAACATTAGTAATAGCAGAGTCTTGGACGGCCTGCTTTGACACACAACACTCAGTGGAGCTCAGACTTCGATTTTTTGATACTAGGTTTAATCCCAGAGTCAATAGCAGTAGTAATAGTAGTACGAATAATGGCAAAAAATGCAAGATACCAGCTAATAGGAAGTTAATCATGAGATCTCAGTTCATTACCGTGCACACGTGTTTACAGAGAAACAAATATATGACAACAAGGCACTTTAAAGCACAAAAGCACTATGACTACGCTTCTGTTTCCTCGAACAAACAATTACACTTGTAGCTCAAATGTAAAATTATTGCTTATGGTATGAGAAAGCACCCGAATGCTGCCCGTGAACAAGAAATGAAAAGAAAAACATCGTCTTTTTAGGGCTACTTTTTGGGCTATCACAGAGTCGACGACCATTAGTCCAGAACGAGAAAGGATCGACGTCCTTAGGATACTGTCAGAAGCAATCCACTGGTCATATTGTCACCATCACAAAATGAAGAACATGTCTAAAAATCAGACAAGAACGATCACCGATAGCGTTGAACCTAACAAATCGTTTCACATAGAGTTTCTTCAAGCGTGGCATAGTATTTGACCACTTCACGTGTTGATAATGTTTTTTTCTTCTTTTTGTTTTAGGAACTTTTTCCCTGTAGATTACAACTGATTAGATGCCTCCTTTTTTCGCCGTTGTCTTAAAACAAACACTACTGCTTACCCGAAAACAAGAACACCGGTAAAACTCTGTTTTCTGCAAAGATTTTCACGTATCCTCTCCTATCCATAATTGTTCACTATCTCATCGCTATTGTGACTTAAGGCGAAGAATTTACCACATGGGATTAGTTGAGTTAAGGTAAAAATGTTTTTAACATTTAGGGATCGGAAATAATTTTTCGTAAACTACTCACAGACTTGCTGAAAAGTTTGAGAAGTACTGAACATGATCATCCTACTAAAGATACTTTGCTCTATCACTATACGAATAACTATACTTGTTCGAAGGGCTAGTGTGGCGCAGTGGTTGGGCACGCCACTGCGACACAGACGTGGAATCAATCCCCGCACCCATGGGTCACTAAGCCTTCCATCTCTCTGGAATCGGCAGATTGGTGCCAAATTTGTCTGGGAGGATAGCAGCACTGGTTCGATACATCGCTAGGCTAACGCGAGCCATTGTAAAGGCTAGATGTGCATTTAATCACCTCCAAAGGATGCTTAATGAAGTCGAATGCATGGCGCATCCATCAGGAATTGATCAACGCCAAGAGTTCTTTTATGCTTCTTCGAAACAATGACTTGATTTCAACGATGCTGAGATATTTGCAAAACAGCAGACCGCAGGTGTTTGTGGTGGGGAATGAACGCGCTATTGTACTTTCCGAGCAGTAATGCGTTCAACACCACAACATGGGGGTCCTTCGTTTCGCTTGTCTCTCAGCTAGTTCCATCGATCTTTTACCATCACCAATCACCCGTCAGCGGGATTGATCTGGGAGGCCCAAATCGGCAACGAAATCAGTTAAAATTTCGTTTTCGAAATATTTCGAATTCGAATTTCGAAAGTCGGTTTCGAAATATTACTACTCTTTGTGCTAGCTAATATTAACACCGACTTCTGCACGATGAGAGCGATGATTATGTCCGGAAGAAAAACAAGTTCTTATCACCGGACATTATCATTATATCCACCATCAGCATCGTGTATAAAAGGTCATCACTGAGCAAGGATGCCTCATTCGAGGAGATGGCTCACTGAAGAAGACCTGACTCGACACGAAGGCGAAGCTGCCGCGTCGAGACGAATAACAAGCGAGAAATCAGTTAAGTTGACTTTTTAACGGCAGGGTATACATTGTGAAATATAACTTCAATGATGCTGAGATATTTGCAAAACTCGGGACAGCAGGCGCCTATGTTGGGGAACGAACGCGGCATTGTCCTTTCCGGGGAGTAGCGCGTTCACCACCATACCACGCGGGTCCTTCGTTTCGCTTGTCTCTCAGTTATGCCGCTGGTGGGTGATTGCTGATGGAAAAAGATGGATAGAACTAGCTGAGAGATAGGCGAAACGAAGGACCAGCGTGGTGTGGTGGTGAATGCGCTACTCCCCGGAAAGGACAATACCGCGTTCGTTCCCCACCGTGTACACCTGCCTTCCGGAGTTTTGCAAATATCTCAGCATCATTGAAGTTATATTTCACAATGTATACCATGCCGTTAAAAAGAGCAGGCAGTAAGTAATAATGACTTGTTTTTTTATAACCGTTTACAGTCAGAATTTCCAGAAGAACTAAGGACGAGACATAAATTTTTACAATTTCTAACGAAATTCCGGCAACTACCAAGATCAAAAACGAGTTTGGCAGCACAACCGCTCCATAATGGACGGAATAGCACTTGTTCAATTGATTTCATTTCCGAAATTTAACCTCAACGGGAAAAGTGCAGGAAGTAATTTCAATGGGTACAGAATTTCATCGGGGCAGATAAAGGAGAGTTTTCAACCTGTGGGCAACAACTTGCAGTCCCAGTACTTTTATACCTATTAATAAAATTCACTTTGAGCCGAGATAACTTTGTTTAAAGCTGAAAAGAGCCGTTATTTGCGCATTGTGTCAGTGAAAATCATCTCACGTTAAATCCGAAGTGATAAGAGGAGTTAAAATCCGGAAGTCCTAAGCTAAAGGTGGTCAAAAGACGAAAACATCATTTCTATCATTAAGATTAAGAAAACTGTATACGATGATAATCTGGAAACGTCATGCGATATCCAATTCATAAGGCTGGAAAAAGAAACTTTTTGGGTAATCAGGAAATACCAACGAAATGGCAATTATGTTGCAGCAGAAAAGAATCCTTTGTGAGTGAGACTAATCAACTAACAATTATTTTAACAAGTGTAGTGTTTTTACAACAGTTAAAGGGTGCTTGTAGAGCAGTGGCTAGAGGTACTTTTACAATACATACAGAGTTATTGATCCAATCTCTCATCGAAGGCTTAGCACTCCATATTCCACTAATGATGTCGATATTTGTGATGATGTTTTTCTATCGTTTTTACCTATTTGATTTAATAGTTTCACCTGTAATTGGTGGTTCTCAAATGTCATGGGATCGTTACTTCGTTGACTGAGTACTGATTGTCCAGATATTGATTGCAACATTTTCGATCTGAAACATCAAAAATTTGCAAAAAAAAATAGAGAAAAAGAAAAATAACCGAATTCTGGACATTAGTTTTTTCCTCGTATTTTCAATAATCTCTTCATGATAACCTTCTCCTGTAAATTTAAAGATAAACTTACTGCTTTCTTGTCTTCAAATAGATATGGTATCGATTATATGTCATTTTTCCACAGAAGAAAACAAACAATGTGATGAAAATCACGCTGAAATATAGCTCTCTCACAAATAACACCACCAGTCTATTAATTTTATTTGTAGTTGAAAATTGACTTCTTTTTTTCTCTTTCTTTTTCCAGTTACACTTGGAGACGATTTCTTCTCAGACTGTAGAAGAACGCTGTTTGCTTGAAGTGAAATAAAATAGAACAACAGCCAAGAAAAGTCTTCAAAGTGAGAAAGGTAAAGATACAGGATGGAAATTAAGCAGAAAAGGGAGAGTACTATAAGAGAGCAAATTCAATTCGTTGAAATCGCTTCATTTTCGGTCATGTGAAGAACGAGAATTTCTTCGGTTCTAAAGAAGAGACAATTTGTTTCATTTCAATTTTTTAAAAATTTCTTTCAATTTTCAAGAACAAAATTTAGATTTGGTCTTTTGTGGTGACCTTTGATGAAGGCCCTATCGTGGAAATCGTAGTGTATAATTATTAGTATAGAATTCAGCTTAGAAGAAAGTAAATCCAGTAATGAAATTATGAACATGGTCCATAAAGGACTAAAGAGAAAGCAATATTTATCCTTTCATTGATAAGCGAATGCGAAGTTCATAAACAGCGTCATCCAACTAGGGTTTCGGCGCCTTCGTCTACATCAGAGCCGAATTGATCCGGGTAGATTGACCGCAGTTGTTCCTTCTGCCGGAGGGGCTTTCGTGATCGTAACGAGTTCAGTCCAGTAGAACGAATCAAAGGCGCGAAAATGTTAGTCGAATAAGGTTTTCTTGACCGAAGCAGTGGTAGCTTGTCAATGAGAGTACCTATTGATTAACAGTGCCGAGGTTAAATGACGGGTTTTTAAAAAATCGTTACGCTCCGTTCTAGGGTGATAGTGACACCGACTGCTCCAAGATGGACTGTCCGGAGGAAAATAAACGATTATCAGTGGACAGTCACTATCAACAAATATCATCCTGTATAAGATAGCATTGCCAAGTGAGGTTGCTCACTCCGGTGGTGCTCCCCACACACTGGGAAAAGAAACAACTGTGCCTATAATTGGTTCCGATCAATCCGGTTCTGACGAAGGCGAAGGTGTCGAAGCGTCAGCCGAACGAGGTTTCTTTTTTCAACTAAACTCGTGTTAGCTTGTTAATGTTAGAATACATATTCGACGATGGAGCATTAGGAGTTGATCGATCCTTAAGGGATGTGCCATGCATTCACCTTCATTCATTCTAACAACGTAGAGGTGATTGAATGGATGGATATCTGTCCCAGTGAAGTGCAGTGATCTACTGTTGTTCCATGGCAATGCCTTCATTTTCGCATACAGGCATGATATCAATGACTGCGTAGAACCCTTACGCTTGGCGAACCCAGGTCGTGCGATCGAACCCACTGGCCGATCCAGTATGCATTGTAGAGAACCTCTAACTACTGCATTACACTCACGGTCAGGGTTCATAGACACTTAAAAAGATTATAAACGTATACATTGATCGATTCACAATTTATTATTTTAGATTGGTTCATAAAATTGACTTAGCAGTGATATTTGATGCACGATCGTCATTTCTTCATATGTTTGCGGTACTCTGAACGCTTTTTTTAGGCATATTATCATAGTTTATGCATTATTACTGTTCATGTATTCATGTAGAAAGATGTCAAAATAGATATTTAGTGGATATTTTACTAAATTTGCATTCTAAACCCACCATATAACGATGATACCTTCAATACCCAAATCTTCAGCAATTGATCGACTTTGGCGAGTTCGTTCAGAAAGGCAAACGCTATAGATCTCAGTGCCATCATCAGTCAACGACCAACGTAGACAAATTGTGTACACCTTGAATTTAAGCTCGTATTAAGGTAAGCTTCCATCAACTATTCGTACGTATAGCTCCAATAATTCCATAGAAAACGAATATTTCACGAAATTTAAGGAGAAAAGATCCTCCAACTTAATAGCAGCTCTCATGCAGTAATTAAATTCTAAAGCGATTTAAGACCCAATGATCAGGTGTTAACTCTCGTTCTCTCTCTATCTTTTTATGCACATCTGTAATGTGACTTTGTGTTTATATCCCTTTCCTTCTCACTTATACTCATCAAAGCGAGAGACTTTTAATCGCTATCACTGTGTATCCATTGAACTTGAAAAATTTTTTTCTACACGTCTTCAACCTTTTAAATCCCTAACGATTTGGAATCACTCCAATCGCGGCTGACTGGCTGAATTCGTCTAAGGGTTGATATGTGACGCACAACATAGCTTCATTTCACACCAGAGTCACTAATGCTGAGAAGGAACTCGACATATTCACAGGAAATTTCAGTTAATATCAAATCTATGAGTTTGAGTCTACACATACTTTTCGGCCTGTGGAAACCTAAAGAAGAGGTGACAAATTCTGAAAGGGAACTTGCTGAGACTAACACTGATCTTCCTGAATATGGACCATCTAGTTTCCAGATAGGTAAGTAGGGGCGTCTAATATGTCTTGCTTTTTCTGAAACGCAATCTCTACTCCCACTTTTATTTTAGCTCCTTTTTTAATTTTGCATGCCATGCCACCCGAAATTGAGCAACAACGGTGTAAAGGGAACATTTACACGATTATTTAGTAATACATTAATTGCTGTTACTTATGAGCACAATTCAGTATTACTATATGATATATCGCTAATTTCTGTAGACGTACCCGATTCGGAAGAAGATTTACAAGATTGTAACTGCAGTAACTATTATGAAGTGATAGTAGAACGACACGCTTAAAATCTGCTGCGCTGGTCGAGTTCACTTGTAGGGAAACACTGGAAAGGAAACATCGAAATCGTTGCAAACGCTCATTCGTACTTTGGAGAAAGTTCTTTCTTTCAACAGTTTCGTTTCCTTAAAGATTTTTCTATTATTTGCACATAAATTCTAGATCTACCGGTCAATTGCTTGTACTTCAAGATTTCGATTCCATGTCAAGTGCACTGACGATACACCGATCTGAATATGAATTTCTGGTAAAGTCAGTTCGGATAAAAGCCGCACAATAACTTACAAAGAACAGGCAAGCTGATTTTTAACATACCTAGTCAACTCAACTTTAGTAAACCTGCATGTAACAAATCGTACCATCGTTAAAGTTGACATGAGAGTTAAAGTTAAAGTTTACTACGAATATGAACGCTTACTTCCCATTCGAGCGGTAATTAAACGGCAATAACAACGACGACAACAACAACAACAACAACAACAACACTCACTGCAATTTAGAACACAAGTGGAACTTTATAAATCTTGGATAAAAAGCACTTAAAGAAAAGCTTGTTGCGTATTAACAAAAATATGACTAGGTACTCTTTAATAACTAGCATCTAACAGCCCACTGTATTTTATTGAGTAATGAACAATAAGTAAGAAAAATCCAACTAACGTGAGTAACATTTAATTGTATGTCTGGAATCTTAACAATAAGACGAATCTTCTTTGTAATTGTATACGTTCCTCGTTGAATTCTACACTCGTAATCACCACGATCCGACCTTAGTACGACATCAATCCTAAGTATCCAAGTATTTATTTCGGAACTGTAGTTTTTAAAATTTTATTACCTGAAGTACTCTGTTGTTGCTAATGTCCTTTTTCGTAGCCTTTGACGCTTCATCGGCTCGAACAAAGTAGTTGTAAAGTAATCAAGGCGTTCAAAACCGGATGAAAACTGAAGTGTTTCAAAATACGTATCATACCATTATAATTTTTCGTTAGCAATCCCTCAGGGATATGCCATGCATCTTATGCAATGGCTAACAGAAAGCCAATGATGTCTGAACTCAGTGTCTTCTTTCTTTACCCTGCTGGAAAACCGTGGTAGCAATTTGTAGAAGGCACAGGAGATTTGGTTAGCTCAGAATGCACGATCGAAACAATGATTTCTAATCACTATTGCACTAAACGAATCTTGTTTAGTGTCACTTTTCCTTTTCCTTGAATAGCTTAATAAGTCTTTAATAAAATAATATCGAGTTCTCGGTGTTCGACGATGAAAACATAAGTAATTCCAAGTGATGTGAAGCATAAACTGGGAATGCGTCGTGATTTTTTTCTTACCTCGGGTCGAATTGCATTCTCTGTTATACCAGAAGGAGTTTTCCATTTGACTATGTCATCATCATACGTACCTTTAAAAACATTATTAATAAATATGAAACTACTTCTACGTATTACCCTCAAAAGAAAACGAGAGCTAATCCTAACAGTTTCCAGGATCGCCTTTCTATTAACCTCGGCACTGGATTAGAAATTCGTTGTTTTCTCTCTTAGCAGTCGCGAGATTACTAAGCAGCATGCGTTTACTGCCATACAATAGCACACATACAACAGAACGGTGGCTGACGTTTCGGCAGAATCGCCTTCTTCTCTGAAGGCTCTGAAGAAGGCGATTCTGCCGAAACGTCACCTAGTATGGAAGTAAATATATGCTGTTTAATAACCTCGCGATTGCTGAGAAAGAAAACAACGAGTTTGTACTTCCAATGCTAAGGTTAATAGAAAGTAGAGCGTGGAAACTGTTACAAGATTAATCCTGAGAGTTATTTACCAGCACAGTATATTTTAAATGTTTCTCCAACATTTGCTACTACTTCATGACCAAATGGAAGAATCACATTTGGCCGACATCCTTCGGTGCTTGGCAATTTCGTAGGTGAGAGACTGTGAATGCTGAAGTAGAAAACATTTTACTCCATCGAACGTTAGTTGAAATACGAACAGAGAGATCTTCATTATTTCTTAACCTCATCAGTTGTCCTTCTCTTGTTAAACAAGTAGAATTATCCCAATCAGTTATAGTTGTAGTTGTAATTGCATTCAACTGTTCACTTAAGCAACCACAATCCAAAGGAACATCAGCGATACGAATCTGTAGAAAAGAAAAGAAACACTAAAGAAAAGCGTCTTGCAAAACAGCGAAAGACGAAACGAAGTTAGACCAGATTTCGCTCATTTCGATAAAGTTATTCGTGAACCGATTTATCTACGTTTTATTCATTTATTTACATATTACATAATCTACGTCATCCGCCACCCCACTGATTAAGAAGAGTTGAGCGGTGATAAATAAAGCCTTCATTCTTCTCTATCATGCGTCAGCGTAATCCAATCAGTCCAGCTTGTTTTTAGAACACCATAAGTATCCGATATTCATTGTGAAAATTTCTTTTAATGGTTCTAGCGGGGAGGGTTTGGGGGAAGTAATGAATGGCATGCCAGAATAAGGGGCATACAGATTTACTCATAGATGGAATCATGGATGAAAATGTGAAAATGGGTTTCAGTTTGGGTCTACATGGAAGATAAACCACCTCCATCCAGCTGAGACGTCCAGTAACACATCCAAGCATAGAGACGTGGCAAGTTATCGAGGTTTCCATATATTACGAGCAATAATTTCATAAGATTCTACCCAGCTATCCATTAGGATGTGAAACATTCACGGCAACACTTAAAACACATGAAGCAATTTATTAGGATTCCTACCACCATTGCCTATTTTTCATATTTTTCTAGTTTTTCTAACAGGCAGGAAAAGCTTCCCATAAATGTATATTCAGGAAAACAGTTGAAAAAGAGAAAACATGATATTTTTAGCACTAATATTCGTTATATATTAACCTTTCATAGCAATAATAACTATGCTTTCGTTCAACTGACTGCAAACTGACTACCAGTTAGATATTTAGCCCTTCCATTTTTTTTCCTATTTGAGTGATTGAGTCTATACAAAGTATCCACTCAGCCAAAGAAGAAAAACTAGTAACAAAGCATTTTGTGGAGCTACACTTTCACCTATCCATGCCACTGTAACAGCAATATTATAAAAATCATAGCAAAAATATAAAATAACTGATGATTTTTCCTCTTTTCCTAAGCACTTACCCTAGCAATGGTTGATAGTAGAGAAGGTGAAAGAGTCTTCACTCCAGTTCCAGAAATATCCAAGCTGCAAAACATTGAGTCTCATCGTAATGGTAGAGGAAAAGATATGCGTGGGACCTTAGCGCCTGTGTGTTGTTTTATCTTAAGTGAAAAAAAAAGATGGAAGAAAACTAAATATTGGGAAGAAGTAATAGTGTATTGATTTGTTGACTATCAGCTCATTAGCATCATAGCAAACTTTGAAGTTTTTAAACCTACGTAGTTCAATATCTTTTCAAAAAATTGCGAATAACATGTTTTCATGCTATGACCAACTCTTATATAGAAGAGTGTTGATATTGTGATGGAAAAGTTCAGTGATAAGAAAGAATGAAATATGAAGAAACAACCACAAGGATGCTGAGATATTTGCAGAACTACGGGCCCCAAATGTCTGCGGTGGGGAACGAACATGCTATCGTTCTTTCCGGGGAGTAGCGCGTTCACCACCACACCATGCGGATCCTTCGTTTCGCCTGTCTCTCAGGTAGTTTTCTATCGACCAGTGTCTTCAGTAATTACTCATCAACGGTGTTGATCTGGGTATCTCAAATTGGGAATGAACCCCGTTAAGCTGGGGTTGTAGTCGAAATCACAATCTTAGTTTTTTTTTACTGCCTATTACAATTTTTCACGGCAGGGTATTATGTGTGATACAACCTGCCGGTCCTGCCGTGAAAAAATTTAATAGGCAGTAAATAAGAAGTTAATGTTATTAAGAACCATTGCAATCTTCACTAACAACATGCTTTAATAAAATTTTTGATATTGTTGAAAATGAAAATCAAAATAAAACAATAATATAAGGTTATATTTATTAGGTAACACCAATCTTTAGTGGCCTTCAGAAACAAGTTAACGAAAACAAAGTGATGAAAATGTTAACCTGAAGACAGTAATATTTTCAAAGGCAGCCGGTGAGATGTAGCGAAGATCATGACAGTTAGCCAACGTCACTGAATGAAGACTTGGAAGGCGTGAGAACGCACCGGCTTCCACAACATGAACTTCACTTGACGACAGGTCCAGCATCTTAGTAACGCTTGATTTGTAATGGATTTTATCCATTGATTTTTTCTTTTTCTCACGACATTGAGACTTTGAAAAGCCAATGAAAATAATAATATATCTATTGTAGGGAGATTTTTAGTTTTCAAGTAGACACCTGTGTTTTTCCAGTTGTTATTCCTTCGATATTGAATTTTCTTCACACACACAACACAAACAATTATCTTCAACCTTTAATCACGACCAAGTGCATTCATTTCCATATGCACGCTGCTGCATGCTTCGGACGGTACTTCCTGACTTCAATGCGCATGCACGATTTCACTTCTGACCTATTTCAACGCGCAAAGGTTTTTTCCAGACTGTTTGAAATGAATCGATAGCTTGTCGAAAGGAGATTTTATATTGGGGCCAAACCGTGCGCAGGTGTTCTCAATGCGCTACAATTGTAAAAAAAACCATGTTCGGACGGTGGAATGGAATCCGTAGATAGGAAAAAACATGAATGTAACGCAGAGATACACTTCAACTGCAGTACAAATCCATTTGAAAAGCTAACTAGATAATGGACGACTTTTTTTTCATCACGCGTAAGAGTTAAATAACAGGCAAGAGGTTCCAAGAACGTGGAAATATACACAAGAAATATAGCGGATACGTAGAAACTGGAAAGTCAAAGAAATGTGATGGAATCGGGTAATAGGACTGACGATGACCTCAAGAAACTGGGGCGCGAGCCTTTTAGCGGGGTTCGCGGACCACACAGGTTAATTTCAGTGCGCACATCGATCGATGCCGCTCCAATGACACTAGATCTAATGGGACTACCGCGTGAATTTGGCCACGATCGCTAATGTGTAAAGATCGTGTGAACTCATTCTGAGAGAAAAATATAAATTTAAAGCTCGCCTTTTCCATAGTCCAGGAATCCATAAGATTGCTTTTAAGAAATTCTTTGAAAGCAATAATTTAAGAAGCGCAAAGAAAAACCCGATTTGGTTCTGTACACTGTTTTTCTCAATCTCAGAAATCCTCCCTAACGTTCCATTTGTCATAGGATTCCGTCTTTCGTAAAGGAAAAGCGGTAAAAATTCGTAGATATAATCAGGTCATATCAATCTTTATCGACTTAAGCTACTTTTGATTTTCCTAAAGAACCTTGATTACATATCGTATAGTGAAAATAAATCACAAAGTACTGCCAAATAAAACCTGAAGACTGCTCAGTTTTACTTGATCTTCACCAATAGATTTGATAGGATTTCGACTAAGCAGTAATGTTCTCAAGCCTTCCATACTTTGTAATTCAATTCCAGGAAGATGAGTGAGATTATTAGAACTAAGATCGAGCACTTCAAGCTAAAAACGAGTAATTATAACATAAATAATGGCTATAGACTCTGATCATATTAAAATAATGCTGGAACACTATTTAAAAAATGAATGAAGAAGAGAAAGTCGGAAGGAACTTTCAAAGAGATAAAAAGAAATTTACGGCAAGCATTGGTGTAATTGAATCACATTCGACACTACGTATACGATTTCGGCTAACATTCAAATACCGTAATGATGTTGCAGTGGCAAAATCACTCATCTGAAAGAAACAAAATGTCTAAGTAGTAAATGAAACACTAAGTGAAAAGAATCTTTGATAAGAAGTGTAAGATATGAACATCATTCCAGAAACTTCGCTCGCTTGAGGAAAGACAAAAGGAAAGAGAAGAAAGACGAATAAGAAAGCTATGGCTTTCAGAGAGAGTGAAAAGAGCCGCAGAGAGGGAATAGAGAGAGAGGGCGAGAGTTTTTGATAGATTGCGATCTGTCGTAGTGGTTAAGAGAGACATTAAATTCTATTATGAACCTTTCCACAAAACTGGACCAACACCGGTAAATGTGGGGCTTAAAGAGGGAGAGAGAGCGAGGGAGAAAGAGACAGAAATGCAGAGGAAAGGAGAGATAGATGGAAAGGACGAGGGCCAGAGAGTGTGGGAGGAAGAGCCAGACTGAGAGGAGAGGAAAAGCAAGCAAAGGTTTTCGTTGGATTACGATTCTGTTGTTATAATAAGGGAAGCTGAGTCCTACCATGAATCTTTCAAGATTATTACCGCTCAAATCAAGTTCTTGCAACAGCGGGATGTAACGGAACGCATGCATACCCAGAGTCTGAACAATTATTATCACGCTGAATTTGTTATAATGAAATATTTTTCAACTAAAGAAGAACTACTAACCTGGATATTGTTATCATTAAGGCGGATGTAACGTAACTCAGGCATTCTAAGTGAATCATATCCGATGAACGAGATTCTGTTATAACCAAGATGGAGTTCTTCTATTCTTGGAAACGGCATGAGTAGTCTACGATCAGCACGCTAAAGTCATTTTTTCTCTTTCAAGGATAAACCATGAATAAAGGTTGAATATACCGTAAAGTCGTTGTGTTCAAGAATAAGTTTCTTCACAGACGGGAATACGATATGTGAGTTCAACCACTGATCATCGTTAAGACTGTTATTGCTCAAGTCAAGCAGCCTAAAATTTTTCATCCTCCTTCCACAGCCATTGACAGCTTTTTGTACAGCTATTTTTCATAATACTAGATACATAAGACGATATACATGACATAATAAGACGATTCATAATACATAAGACGAAAGACTTATAAGAAAGTGTAGCCGTTACGAAACAGCATGTTTGAGCGAGAGCCTGTTAACTATATGAATATTATAACTAAAGTTTGTTTCTATACTGTGCATCTGAAGCACTAAGACAAATTTGCCTACATTTGCTATTGCTACTAGTTATTAAAAAATTCGTCTGCTACAGAAGTATTCTCTTAAAAAATTATAAGTGACTTTGTTAGAAGGCTCACTCTAAATAGTTAAGTGCCGTCCAAAAATCCGGAGGAATTGAAGGAGTGTTCTGGATTGAGAGCTCTTTCAAACCACTCCACTCGGGTAACGAGAGTTGAGAGTTGACTATCGTTAGCTGTTCAACAGTCAGTGATTGACACGACATTGAATTTCCTACAATTTGCTTCCTTTGTTCATTTCTCGCTAGATTTTTAACCATTCCACTTACAAAAACCGATGTTTTTCTACCTTTATAGCAAATAATGTTGCTAAGTGCTAGAAACATAGTAACCCAATTCTTAGAGATGTCACGTGCTTGACATGGGTCATTGATTCAACTAACGCCATGGATTAACCTAACTCTCCACCATTCCAAGGTTGAGGAATTGCTCCTCATTTTTGCTTTGGATGATAAAAACATCGACTTAATCCATCGATAGGCTCCTAAAGTCACTGTACGGACCAAATATACAATCAGTAACCCCACTGACGTTTAATGAAGTGGAATATACAGTGCATCCTAGAGGGATTGACAAATGCCGAACGTTTTAACCCTTTGACACAGCGGTACTAATGTTAAAGCAGCTAACCATAGATGTGATTAGAAATATCGATCCATTGAAGATAAGAATTAACGAAGAAGACAGTTTTTTAGGCGGAACCATTGTCTACAGTTGTTTTTTGTTTGTAAAATGGAGTACTTGTTTATTCTGGTTGGTACAGCGGAAATTTTTTGAAGCTTGTTCCATATTCCTCGCTAAGTGTGATATGATATAATGTGCTAATGGGGTTGTATGTGTGGACGAATGAATACCAACTAATCAACGATGAAAAAAGTAACAATCCCTGAGGGATGCGCCATGCATTCGACTTCATTAAGCATCACTTGGAGGTGATTGAACTCATATCTGGCTTTTACAATGACTCACGGTGGGCTGCCGATGTATCGAGCCAGTGCTGCTGTCCTCGCAGACAAGTCTGGTACCAATTTGCCAACCCTGAAGGAAAGGAAGACTAGGTGGGCTATGGGCGTGGGGATCGATTCCACGTGTGTGTTGCAAGACGCCTCCGACCACTGCGCTACACGCGCCCGTTGTCATTGTCAATAGTTCACACTTAAAAAATTTGGGAAGGCTTCTGCGTCTAACAACTTTCTATAAAAAATACGTGCAGATAAAAATAGTTTGGATAAGTTTCAAAAACTTTTGTTGGGCAAATATATGCACTGTCGTAAGCTAGTCATGAAGATTCCAAACTAAATCAAGCTGGCGGGGATAAAATAAAATAAAAAGCAGACTGTAGCGACCGTAAAAAAGTATTTCACCTTCACAAGTACATCGTTGTGGGCAGGGGGCAAATGAGATGTCAACAATAAACACGACGATAATCCACCGCATGAATGTGGTGGTACGGTTTTTACCGGCAAAATGAGATCTGAAATGTGAAAGTTTTCCCTAAATTTTAAATAAATAAGCAAACAAAACGAAAGCGTCATCCGGACAGCTCATTTTGACACTCTAATAAGGTGTTTTTGCTACGAAAGAGAAATACTAGTAGCTATATTAAAATTTCTGAAAACCTCTAATGGCAATGTAAATTTTCGTGCTAAATTTCAATTAGGCATGGGACAAATAATTTCCGGTTTTATGACTTTAATGATGAGGAGATGACCATCAAACGTTTGAGAAATGATTGCAAATGAAAGGACGTTGACGTTAATCCCAGAAACGCTTCAGCGATCATCAACGAGATAACGGTTTACCATCGCCTGATGCTTTAACGTTTCATAAATTTCAAACCATAAAATACTAACGAAAGGAAGCATTCAGTGATGTTAAATAAATGAAAAACTCATCAGAAAATGAATGTATCGAAAGTAACTTTTGTGAATATTAGGCTGTTGATATTCAGAAATCAAAAGACAGGTATTAGCTGATTTAAAACATGACATGAACAGAAAAAAGTAAATAAGTTCTCTTATTTTGTTTCTGTCATGATAGAATGGAACCTGAGTCGATCCTCTTATTAGTGAAGGCGTAGTTCACTTAGTTGACTGCTCTGACTTCACTAATGGTTAGTCAGCCTTCTCTAACTCATCACTCTTAGTTAAAGAATATTTAAAACACGAATAGCTGACAAGGTCACACATGCACTCAATTTTTCTGGTAATTGGATTCACTTGATGGATACTGTAGTGGTAATGATGAAGAGCATATAAGTATCGGATTCGTCCAAAATGAATGGATTCATTCGTTTCTGATTAACTCGATTACTTCATTGGCTCGGTATTTAAATCTATGAGCTTCCATAGCATTGTTTATGTTACTCAATTTTTACAGTATGGCGTTTCCTGTATAAGAAACCAAGAGTTAAAAATATTCGAAACACATTCGAAAAGCGTCTTTGCTGAACTTTAGTGTAAAGTTCATTTCATGCCAGAGAGCTCAGTTGAAAAAGTATGGTAGGTGTTTCGAACGATAACTAGGACGCGCGTTATACAACAGCGTTGCCTAGCGCGGCATTTCATGTCGAATGAGAAAGTGGGAGTAAGTTCCAGCTGAAGAGTTCCCTATCCAAGCACGATGTCTAGAGAAGAAGCTTGTAAAATGTTCGCCTACTAGTGAACTCAGACTAGACTGACATTCGACGTTCGACGAACTTTTACCAGTACACCGCTGAAAATCGTATCAAATATTCGAAAGATTTCTTCAAAAAGAAAAAGATGCACAATATCAAAATGATGGCAGCCACGCCTTTACATAGCGCCAAACTCATTGCGGATGCTCTTAGATCTCAGTACATTCAGCAAAGCATCCCAATTTGATTTCAATAGGGAAACATCGAGTGAGTTAGTAGTTAGTTTCTTGAAGCGTTGAAAAATGAGGGCAGATAAGTGAATAAATGAAAACTACCTGAAAAATTGTTGAAAACAATTATACAGCAGCGCTTTTATGAAAAAAGTTGTGACTGAAGGCAACAGAAATCGTAAGGTTCCCCTGAATGAGCTGGTTTCCAACAACCGTCATGGTTTTGGAAGTCAATGAGAATTGGTGCGATGGGAAACCAGTCAAGAAAGAAAAAGCTTGTAAACAAAGGACATTTCTCGGTAAGTGAAAAAGAGAAATCCTGAAAAATAGCATAATTCCGAGACGTCAAGTATTAGCTCAAGAAACGCAGAGTCAGAATACATTCGATTTTATTATCACCGTTAATTGCATGAAACTATAGAAATTCATTCGCCCGGAGTGGATCCGCATCCGTTAACAATTATAAATCGCATGAGTAATGGTTGAAGGATTCGAAAGATCGACTTTCTATGAACCTCGGCATAGATAGTTGGTATATTTATTTATGTGATCTTATAAACTGATCTTCTTAAGCTGACGCGAGGTTGGTACAGATCTTCGTTGTCGTTGTCGTTGTTTTTGATGTTATTGAACGATGGCTGACGTTTCGGCGACTTCGCCTTCCTCAGAGCCGTGATGTTACGTGCGAGACGTGCGGGTTGAAGGATTTCACATCATGAAAAAACTGCGCTCTTCACGAGCATAACGAGATTTCTTCTTGACGAATGGTGATGCTTCGCCGTCGTATCGTTGAAATTCAAAATGACGACGATTTTCGTGCTTATGGATTTCTCTACCGTTAGCGGAATTCATAGCACAAGTCGAATGTCCAGATATGTACAAACATATCTATATCTCCTAACTAGAATGATGTCGCGTTGGCGGATTTGCGCATCTTTTAGTGACTTTAGGGAAAATTGCTCTCATGGGTGTACGACGGAGATCACTTCGTCATTCCCCTAGCATATCTATCAGCATCACCACCATCATCACAACGACCACCAACTCATACATCATTGTCAGTGCTGCATATGATAGTAGATCGCTTAGTGGATGTATTACGTGGAATCCGAGAACATCAACAGCAACGTACATCATTTTCATAATGTCGGAACTACATTCACAACAACACCAACGGAATGATGGAATGGTTGAACATTTTTCCCTGAAATGGAGATTTTACAAAGAAATATTGTACTATAAAGCTTAGAACACTTCACATTGTATAGTCAAACAGATAATAGCAACAGAATGATTATCTCATTACAGTTCACTAACCAGAAGGCATCACTGATGGTCGAAGTGGTCTTAAGTGTCCGAAATAGAAACATTTCACATTACACGAAGAACTTCTATGGATATAAAGCTCCTTGATTCATAGACGAATTACTTAATTCAAGCCAAAACATGCAGCAAATACACAACAACGTGGTGGTTTTGTTAGAAAGATAAATTTATACAAAGTTGTGAGTAGGAGAGAATGAAAAGTGATGAAAATCAAAAGCGAATGAGATCTACGACCAGAAAGTAGTCGATGTTTTTGTGGCCAGCGCTTCACTGAAATGCATAGATACCGTGATTATTTTCTGAGACATATTAAATACTGTTTACGAAGAGAGTGGATTTTTTTTTCAAAAGTGTGATCTTTTTAGCTTAGGTTTTTTCAACGAAACAACAAGCACTAGGGTTTCCCTTCGAATTTTGTGCCTCACAAGTGGTTCTATAATGTTATAGCAGTAATGATAAAGTAAAATAACGACTGAAGTAATAAAAGTAGTGATTGGTTTAGGAGCTTAATGTTAGTGATGCATTGAAAGGAAAGCAATATGCCAAATGCAGCCTATGGGTGGGAACTCGACACGTTATTCATTATTCACCAACTGTCGTGTAATCTGGGATGTCATTAATTAATGGTGAGACTCTAATTAGACCAATAACCTAGTACACTTAACATTACCAAAGATTAATTAGCAATAAGGAATGAAAACTAAAAGGTTAATTATATTAGATAAGGAAGAGACACTAGTAAAATAGCACTATGACATGCTTTGCATACGTAGCACTATGTCATCAGAATTATTTTTTTTTATTTTGCTACTTTTAATTAGATTGATGACTTATAACGACAGAAATCATCGAGTAACTTCAAGCTAACACCAGTAAAGTCTACATTTCCATGGGTCACTTTGGCTGAGCGCCGTGACTCTACGCAGTTAGCTCCAGTTGTCTTAAGAAACACGAATAATCATACCGTTATCGTCCAAACCTCTCTTCCCTTCTAATTTTTGCCTAAATTTCTGCAATTTCACTGTCTTTGGCA